ATATGAGAATATTTATACATAAAAATGCATGTCTGAACAATGTGAATATCTTGTATTTTTAATGTTTTTAAACGCTGAAATAAAGGTTCCGTGTGTGCTATATAATGCGATTTAGTGAATCGCTCTCTTTTGAAGCAAAAATAAGGAATTAATTCTTGTTAAACTACAATTACCCACACAATATTACAATATATCACATGTGATGAAATTAGAGAATTGTATAATATAATCATAGATCTTTCAGAAAGAATTTAGTTTAACTTATACAGTATTCCAATATTCCTTGATATTGATGTATGTATATTACGTATATGCTCATTAAAATTTAGATGAGAGTCAATAGTGACTCCTAAAAATGTAACAGATTGTTTTTCAACGAGACGCAAGCCATCAATCTCAATTTTACAATTTCTTATATCATGTACGTTGGTCTGTTTAAAATAAATGAAATTTGTTTTACTAAGATTTAATGACAATTTATTAGATTTAAACCACCTTGAAATTTTCATTAATTCACAGTTTAACCGCGTTATGAGCGTATCAAAGTTTTTATGGGAATAGGAAATACTCGTATCATCAGCAAAGATGTTAAAATTTAAAAGTGAAGAGGTTTTAATAATATCATTTATATAAATAATAAATATCAATGGACCCAATATAGATCCTTGCGGTACTCCACATTTAATTGTTAATTTTGTTGATTCATGGTTTTGAAAAGATACCTATTGTTGTCTGTTTTGTAAATAATTAGTAAACCATGAAAGAGCTTGACCTCTTACGCCATATTATTGTAATTTATGAATTAATATTTTATGATCAATCGTATCAAAAGCTTTTGACAAGTCCATAAATACTCCAACAAAATATGTCACTGTTCGCAAAAGCCTCAATTATTTTATCATACATATGCAATATTGCGTAATCGGTAGAATGACCAATTCTAAATCCGAACTGGTTAGGAATCAATGAATTATTTTTTTGTAAGAAAGTGTTGAGTCTTTTATATATTATTTTTTCGAGAATTTTAGAGATATTTGGTAATAATGAAATTGGCCTATAATTACTTATTACTGAGGAATCGTCCTTTTTATAAATAGGAATCACTTTAGCGATTTTAAGCAAATGTGAGCATACACCCGTTGAAATTGATAAATTAAATATATATGTCAGGGGGGGGGGGTTACGATATTAAAGATTAATTGTTTCAATAAGTGAACACTTATACTATCATGGCCACTAGACTTTGTAGAATTAAGGGGTTGAACTACATTAATAATTTCATAATCGTTGGTTAGAGTAAGAAATAAGGAATTTTCACGTGGGAAATTCAAGGACTTATTGTAGTCCATGTCACCTGAATCAATATTAGCTGCTAAATTAGGGCCTACATCTATAAAATACTTATTAAAAGCTTTTGAAATTTAATTGGATCTGTTATTTGTTTTTCATTAATTAAGAAACATTTATTACTTTCTGTATTTTTCTTGCCTAAGAGTTCCTTTACAGTTTTCCATAATAAATTATTGTTACTTTTATTATTTTCTATGTTGTTAGAATAATATAAATTCTTGGACAATCGTATAAGAACTTTTTTCTAGGATCATTCAAAGGTGATTTAAAATAAGAGAAAAGTTATGTAATATTTGTGGTTAACCAATTAATCGAAGGTACTCATAAGACATGGACAGAACATCTTAGACAAGGCAATATGGTGTGTTGTGAACTTTATTTGAGGGAGAGGTGGCATCTTGCCCTTTGTCCTCAACCTTTTCAAACATTACATGGGTGACTATTTGTTGACAATATCAGTTGAAATTATAACCACCATATATTTAGAAGCGTCGTTAAATTTGTCCTTGCCAAGTGAACGACTCTTTCCGCGTTATTAAAGGCACGTTTTATATTTCACATGGCAGTCGTGCATGCAAAGTAATCAGGGACTTTGAACTCCCAATTCTCCAAATCCCCAAAACAAAGAGCTATGTTTTTTGTTACTATGCACAATATTTGTGAGTCACCTGCCCACTCAAAATCCAGTTGTGTCTCCACTTCCCACCCCTTCTCTCTCTCTCTCTTTCTCTGAACATGAATGTAATAATGCATTTAACCATGTTAGCCATGTCAATTGAATTCTGCTGTATTTCATATATTATTGAAAAAGAAATCTATTTTCTTAAGATAAGATAACCCAATAATATTCTATGCTGTAATTACTTCTGTCACCATCGAACAAATAATTTACCTGGAAATAATGGCATAAAAGTGGCGTCGTGTACAATGATATCACAAGCCAAAAAGACTTTCTGATATATCCATACATCAAACCTGGAATTAATATTCAATATGGCACAGTCATTCTCATTACTAGTCTTGTTGGGCAACTAGTAAATAAACAAATTTTAATTCATTATTTTGTTACGGCTAATATAAAAGAATTACATTTAGGCACTCTTTACTCATTGACGAATCGTGGGGCATTCTTTTTTCCGAAGGTTCTTATTTCTGAAGGTTCATAATTCCAAAAATGAAAAAAGGGTTCATAATTCCGAAAATGAGAAAGGGTTCAAACACTCATTGGTTTCTCTTCGATCTCCCTTGTAAGCCAGCCCTCAAAGATTTTATTTTATCATATCTGTGCCCTTTATTGATAAGATTTTTACACTTCACTCTGGGAAAACATCTATTCTTAATTAAAAGAAAAAACCCAAATCTTTCAGTACATTCACTCATCTGTTTAGGCATTCTCTGTACGCAAGTAGTATCCTACATGTAGACTTCATTCTTTTGCCCATAATGCATGAGATGGAGCTAAGAAAAGCAATTTCCTAGAAATTAAATTGTGTCCTTTTAATGAACTCGCTTTGGGGACAAGCACCCTCACTCAGACGTGATGTACAAATCAACCTTAGCATTATTTTAACTCACAAATGAATTCCGTTTTAAGAGAAAAATTGCACCATTTAGGCCAATATTGAAAATGTATATGTCGACAAAGGATCTGGCCAAATACCATTGAATACCAGCCTTACTTTATTCTACATATATTCTTTTGTCATGTGTAAATTTGCAATATTTGTTTGTTATATATTTGTAAAAATGCAAAAGAAAAAGAAAATCAAACAGAAATAAATAAATCAAATCAAATCAAATCAAATCAAATTTATGAAATATATTGTTGGTACGCCATCGTATGTTCTCCCGTACAACATCCCATCATACTCACAGCATGTGCAGTGTCCGAACCTCCGAGGAACCATGTAATGGAGTTCAAAGTATTAGCTATCTCAGTTCTCAAAAAGCTCCTTTCGTTATGATCATGCACCTAGTTTATTCCTAATTATCTCCAGCTAGTTATAGGCACAAAGGGTCCAAAGGCGAGATATAGAAATAAAAACATTGTTTTGGCCAAACGACAAGCAGTGTATTGTAAAAGTTGCCACTTGATCAGTAGTTTTCACAGGGTAATACCATTTATTATCATGGAAGAAATGCACGTACATATGTACGTCATTGAACGTCCGACTTTGTCGTACCGAACACTCGATTTCATCATACCAGGAAACACCTCCCTGATTATACACTGTGATTGTGCGCTGGGTTTTCCCCACGAAAACCTATTGTCTCTCAAATTTTTCTATTTCTCTTTCTACCTCTTTCTCACCCTCCCTCACTGGGTTTTTCCCAACGAACTCTCTCCATATCCCCCTTCTCTCTATCTCTCTCTCTTTCTATAACTCTTCTATCTTTCCTTCTGTCTATCTCTTTGATTAAGCACTCGGTTTTCCAAAAGAAGACTCTCTCTCTCGCTCTCTCTCTCTCTCCCGTTCTCTATCTACACGTGGCGTATGTCATTGAGTTTTCGAATTTGTCGACATGTGTCTTTTTTCAATGGGCAAATATAGTTGTGTCGAATGTGAATTGATCCGCTTAATGCAAAGGGGAGATATTCACAACACAAGATCCAAAACTGACAAAAGTGGGGTAGGTAAAATCTACATTATTACCAGTATCAAACAAGAAAATGTATATCTAGATAGACGGCGCTATAGAAATGCCTATTATTATCATTATTATCTTTGATATATATGTATATATATTTATACACAATCATAATATCACTTCTAATCGTATATTTGTGATAGTATTGAAAGAAAGGAAATTAGGAGAGATAGAGAGAGAGAGAGAGAGATAAATATATATATATATATATATATAAATATATATATATATATATATATATATATATATATATATATATATATATAGGGAGAGAGAGAGAGAGATAAATATATATATATATATATATATATATATAGGGAGAGAGAGAGAGAGAGAGAGAGATAGGGAGAAAAAGAAAGAGAAGGAGAGACCATCAGCCCAACATATAGTTTAGAGAAAGGTTAAAGTAGAGATACTTGGTTTGTGGAAGATAATATATATATACTACCGATAACCATATTGTACATGCATGCATTACATTAAACCCTTAGCATTAGTGAGCAGTTGTCTTTTACTTTGGCTAAATACCTCAGTTCAATAATCATCAACAGTACATTCGTGTCTTGAGATTTTACGTTATTGATGCATTTTTATTTCCCGCGGTCACATACGTGCACAAATGTGTTGCATGCAGGTGAAAACCGATTGTAGTATCTGCAGCATCGGTAATAACGACACTCATACAATAACCAAGATAAGATAAGGTTACGGGAATTAATAAACATTATGTTGGAAAACATTTCGAGGAAAACTTCCTTTCATGTTTTGACAGGTTTTCCTTCATAAAGTTTATTTTCATTTCCCACGTGCATGAAAAGCACGCCAAAGCCAGTAAGGTCGAACAGGTGCATTGAAAACGCACATGAGAAAAAAGTGTACACAAATTGAAAATTGAAAATGACTTTAGAAACTAACCTTGAAATAGGAAATCATGGGAATTAAAAAAAAATAGAAACCAGTTGAAAGTAATTTAGAAAATATGAAAGCATATTTTTAAAAAATTTAATTTACTACTTCTTCTTCTCCTAATGAATAACCATGATTGCTGTTTCTTCAACACATACTCGTAGGTTCCTACAACAATTATTGTTTTAAAGTGATTAATAAACTCGTACATCTGCAAATAGTATGATTATGATTTCATGATATACTGTGTCAAAAAAAAGAGTGTCCATAAAGACTATTGTAGACAAAATAATAGTAGGCAACAGCCTATGAGACGGACAGCCAAAGAGGAAGGCAAAGTTGCCTTCTGACAACTAATCATGTCAGTTATATTAAATGTCTTGTGGGCTGTCGGTTCCCCATTCCCCTACAATGCCACTGACATTGTAGGTCTTGTGGGCTGTCTGTCTTGCTGGCCCATTCCCCATTTTACAAATCATTCACAACCGTATTGTGACTAGTTCAAATATTTGGTTAATTGTTCAAGATAATTTGAAACACTTATATATGATCAACAGCCACTGACTTTTCAGTTCCAAGACGCTTCAGTCGTTTGAAGAGACCTGCAAAGATAGCGAACACAGGAGCCCTGTCACTTGCTCGAGACGGCAGGGACAAACTCTGAACAGAAGGCCACTTGATTTGTTCATTCATAGAAACACATCTTACTTTTCTATCCTTTATCCCTCTGGTTCTTCTTCAAGCTCTTATTCCTTAACATGAAGCCTACCAAGATCAAGAGCACTGGTGGTAGCAGCGCGGTTGAAGGTCAGTAACTTCGCTTGGTGAGCTATGTATGTCGACTAAGGAATAAGTGCGGAGAGGGCTTCTTCTCCTCCTTTGAGAATGGTTTCAAGGCCATCAACTCGCGCAGCATGCTCAGATATTGATAGGTCTGGGTGGTGTGGCCTTTTTACTCCCTCGTTTACAAGTGAAGCCTTGTCAGATATAGTTTCTAGAAAGTCATTATGGCAGTCGATTATATCTTCCAATTTATGACAAAACGTGTTTCTATAGGTATTACATTCATCGAGCAATTCACATTTCCTCCTTCGCAATTGCTCAGCTGCAACATCGTATGTATTCTTAATTTCTTGCTGTCGTTGACTGACACTATTTTTCACCGTTTGAAGCTTTTCCTTTACAAAAGATAAGCGATTCTGAATAACCACAGATCTTTGTTCTGTTTTCTGCAGCAAAAACTCAAATGTCTGTTGTTGACTTTCTTCATATTCGGTCATCCCGATGACTTCATGCCCGTCAGCCCTATGGGTGACTTCCAGACACCTACAACAGATGCGATCCAAACATGTAATACACACGAACTGCTGCAATTCTTGTGGATGTTCAGGACACGCGAATTTCATTTTGACAAACCCTGACTGAATGTCTCTTGCTTTTACCACTTCATGTAAGGTATTCCGCTTATATTTCTTATGCTGTTGTAAGCAATGATCGCAAAGAAATTCTGAACAGTTCTGGCAGTAGTAGGTGGCAATGTCTCGATCATCACCATCGCAAACGGTGCAAGGTTGGCCACTACATGCCCCATGCCTTTTACCACTCCTTGCTTTCGTATCTGATTGCTTTTTGAAATCTTCGGCAAGAGACTTTGCAATTTGATTAGTCGGAAAATTGCACACGTTATTCCTCGGTACATGAGCAACCTGACGGCACACTGGGCAAGATATTGTGACAGTGAATCCTTTAAAAGAGTGAAGTTGGTATAAACAACTTCCGCAGAAGGAATGTGAGCATGGTAGAAGCTTCGGCTTGCTGAGTAACTCCGTGCATATTGGACATTGCAGACTATCTGATAGTTGCTTGGTCGCAGCCATCTTGTGCATCTAAATCCGATCCTAGATAAAGAAAAGGAGAATCGAGAATCTTATTGTTAACCAATCTCTGATATGGATGCAATTTGAATTGTATATTCCACTGGTGCATTTACAATGCTGAACACAAAAATCAAACGAATTAAATTGGTTATATTGATTTCGTTCAATTCAAAAGATATTGGGAACGCTATGGATCTCATCTTTTGCATCGCAAAGTGTTGACAATATCATTTGAAATGATACTATAACAACAATTTATAATCGTCGTTGATTTGATTTGATTTGAATTCTTCATTTTTCCAAATTTTATAAGTGAATAAAAAAACGTATTAGGCATAATACAAAATAAACAAACAATAATATAAACTTCGTGTCAAAATGTTTTATAAACATATACATATAATAACAAAACTTAAAATTCTATAAGATATTATTATAAATTTAAGGTATTATGCGAACTGTAAATTTTTTGGTTATGATAAAACACAGATCGGTTTCTCTGTGATTTTTTTTGTGAGCCAGCTCTCCAAGAAGACATTTGATCATATGTGTGCCCTAGATAAACGACCGGTGAGATTTTGTTTACACATCACTCTAGGAAAACGTCTATTCTCAATTTTATTTTAAATCTCAGTCCATTAAACACTTTCTTTGGGCATTTTCTCTATACAATTATTATGCTAGATGGAGACATTATTCCCTTGACTATATTACTTGAAATGGGGAAAAGGAAAAACAGATTGAGAGAGCGGGATTTGTCCTTTAATGAACCCGCTTTTTGGACAAGCACCCTCATTTAGACGTGATGTACAAATCAAACGTAGCATTATTTTGACTCATAAATTAATTCCATTTCAAGAAAAATTTGCACCGTTTAAGCCAATACTTTCAATTTATGTAGATAAAGGATCTGGTCAAATACCATTGAATACATATGGGTTAAGCTTCGTCAAAAAACGCATGCGGTACGTCTTCGAGTAGGCCCTTACAAATTTGCATAGAAAGCGACAACTATTGACTAATGGACTCACGTATTTGGGGACACGTGGGTGTGGGTTATGTGTGTGTATGTGGGGGATGTATGATTGTGGAGAATGTGAAGAGGAGAAGCGAGATAAATAAATAAAATATTGTTCATAAATTTGGAATTCCCTATCATTTTTACAGTCTGTTCTAATTAATAATTCATTAACAAGACTTAACAAGACATAACTACAAGAATCATCTTCTCTTACTTTATAATGCATAACTTATTTACAGACTATATCTCTTATACCTAAATGCAACCCCCTACTTTTTTGATTATATATTTAACGGATGCTCCATTTAGTGTCACTTGTATATATTATGGTATATACTCCATATGTTCTTTATACTTTGAAAGTTATTACGTCAATTTATATGTAAATTTGATATTGTTTCCCGTGTCGTGGTCGAGTGGTCTCGACCAAGGCGCTTGACTGGAGACGCGAAGGTCGATGGTTCGAATCCCGACACGGCACTAATATCCTTTGGCAAGATATTAACCTGCATTTGCTTCTCTCTCCCCAGGTGTAAAATGGGTACCCGGTAGGATGCGACCGTCATTGTTGGTCAAACAGTTTTTGAGGGTCAAGTAACGCCTGGCTGGAATGCTCCCCAGGGAGTGGAGATTGTGTACACACAGTGTGTGCGGGCAAGCACTGAATCCATTGACCGGGGTAATAGTATATTTGTAAAGCGCTTAGAGATATTGTATTAAGCGCTATATAAAAGCTAAATAGTATTGTGATGTTCCATAGGTTATCTTTGTACATATTGTCTTGACGATGGAAATATATTTCAGTTCAATCAATTCAAATTAAATGAATACTAATCAGAAAAATATCATAGAGATGAACAACGTATTGCATGATCACCCTCCCCTCCCCTTTCCCGGTAGTAAAGGATGTGATAGCCGCATAGACAATACGTCTATCATTATTGAAGTGACATTAAACTAGGCTGCCATGGGATGAGGAGACTACGTATTACAAAATAGTCCCACGCAATAAGAATACATGTACGATATATATACATTGTTGGTACGTCAACGTATGTTCTCCTGTACAACATTGACCTAAACATGGCATCCAGTATTTAACAGGCAATCAGCAACATTATTCTATTATACTCACAGCTTGTGCAGTGTCTGATGAACCATGTAGTGGAGTTCACCGGTTTAAGCCTCGGTCACAAATGCCATTAAGAACTGCTACGAACGCCGTACGAACAATTTCAGACAATGGAAATTCGGGAAGACAATGGAAAAACAGGGAGATTCGTACGAATTTATCGTTCATACGAACCTTTGTGACCGTAGCTGTAGCTATCTCAGTTCTCAAAACGCTCTCTTCGTTATCACCGTGTGCATTATTATGATCAAGCAATTAACCCCAGCTAGCTATTAGCACAAAGGGTCCAAAGGCGAGATATAGAAATATAAACATCGTTTTGGCAAAACGATAAAAGTAGCCACTTGATCTGTAGTATTCACATGATAATACCATTTATCATCACGGAAGATATGCATGCAAAGGTACGTCATTGAACCTCCGACTTATCGTAACAAGGAGTTCTAAGAGATGGAGTCATATCGAGCTCATTCTCTTTGTACTATCTTCGATGCCGCCAGGAGAAATATTTCAGGCATGTGTTTATCTGGATCTTTATGTAGATACTTAGACAAAAGATTCTTGCCTAGCTGCAAACTAACGGCCATTTTCAGAGGAAAATATGCTTTTGTAATGATAATTACCTTTCGCTGCTACTCGTCTGATATTACGAGCATTACGCAGGGCTTACCTTTATAGGAGGCAAGCAAAGTGAAATGGAGCAAAATAACAGCAAACCTGTAGATTCTATCGTGCAACCTTAGAAAACGGCAGCTGCTTGAAATAATTTTTTGCCAGTCTGGACTCAGGCTCTTAAAACTCCTTGACCGTACCTAATGCTATGGTCACATTACCCAAAAGTAGTCTGCTCGGCGGCCGAGCGGCGAGTTTTTAACCAATTCTGCCCGGCGGCTGCCCGGCCACCGAGCGGCGGCCGCCCAGGCACCGCTCGCTTTTAGGGCATCGCTCGGTCGCCGCTGAAGTTTTAGCGCGGAGTTAAAATTTGGGCGGCGCCTGCTCACTTTTCACTCGCCGCCCAAAATACGCTCGGTGTCTGGGCGGTCGCCGCCCGGGCACCGACCTAATCGCTGGGCGATGCCTAATTCCAGCAGCGACCGAGCAGGCTACTGATCGGTCGGTCGCTGCTCTGATTTGTGACCATAGCTTAACAGCCGATTTCATTAAACGCTGGGATTGTGCGCTTTTCAAACAAACACTAGTCTTGTCTGTCAAATTCTATCTTTCTCTCTTTCTATCTCTTCGATTAAGCACTCGGTTTTCCAAAAGAAGACTCGTTGTCTCTCCGTCTTTCTTACTCTCTCTCTCCCTCTCCCTTCTCTTTTACGTCTCCATATCTTCACGTTGCGTATGTCATTGAGTTTTCGAATTTGTTGACAGGTGTCTTTTTTCAATGGCAAATATAGTTGTGTCGAATGTGAATTGATCCGTTTAATACAAAGGGAAGATATTCACAACATAAGAGCCAAAACTAAAAAAGTGGGGTAGGTAGAATTTACTTTATTACCAGTATCAAACAAGAAATTTATATCTTTGATATGTATATAATATACAATCATAATATCACTTCTAATCGTATATTTGTGATAGTATTGAAAGAAAGGAAATCAGGATATATATATATATATATATATATATATATATATATATATAGGGGCAGAGAGAGAGATAGGGGAGAAAGAGAAAAAGAGACCATCAGCCCAACATATAGTTTAGAGAAGGCTATAGTAGAGATACTTATTTTGTGGAAGATAATAGATATACTACCGATAATCATATTGCATATATGCATGCATTACAGTAAACGCTTACCATTTACCAGCAATCTGTCTCTTACTAAGGCTAGATATCTCTCCGCCCCCCACTCAGTGTTATTTAGGGTATGCATATACGTGTTCCCTCCTTTTGAAAACACCCCCGTTGTGTAAAGTCCATTTTGTGTATGTACGAGCCGGACTTTGGTGCGTGAAAAGTACCCCTTTACCGGATATTTTGGTAACACGCATGCGGTCATTCCGACCCCGGAGTGGGGGGGGGGGGGGGGGGCAGGGGATATCTCAGTACAGCAATCTTCAAAACAGTACATTCGTGCCTTGAGGTTTTACTTTATTGACGAATTTTAATTGCCCGCGGTCAAATACGTGCACAAATGTGTTGCGCGATGCATGTAGGTGAATAACCGATTCCTATCACCATCATCGGTAGTACCAACAAGAATGACACCAGACAGTCACAAGATAAAAGGTGATCGTCCTTTTTCAACTAGCCCAGTCACATTGACAACACCGACGAAACACAAACGACAGACCAAACAAGCAATGTTATTACTCTGAAACTGAAAGGCTTGAAATGTGTCTGATTGGAGTCGGTTTGGAATCTGTTTGTCGGTGGGACTGGGGATAGTGGGTTTCAATTTCTAGAGGAACGAACTTTTTATTTTGAACGATGCTCATGAAAAACCGATGGATTTCTCGGTGCGAAGTTCTGTTTTTCATCCCTCACAGTATTATTATTCACACATTAATATTAAAAGATGTTCCTGTCTGGCCCGTCGGCACGATATGAAATCGAGTGAGAACAAGTAAACTTGTTGGAATCGAACGGTGTGTTCTATTTGGGGTTATTTAACATTGCACTAATCTTATGAAGTGACCTTTGAAAGTTATTTGACGCTATCTTCTAAACCACCCTTAGCATACACATGTACTTACATAGCTTATCATGCGAATATAGGTATATTATATGACTGTTGTCCCACACAAACAGCGGACGAGTGTTTTTGCCTTAACTTATCATATCACATGATTCGAATGATACCACACTGAACTTTATCGAATCCCCAGTGTTTGCATTTAAATCTTGATTTTACTACTACTACAAAAGGGTCATTTTAATATAATGATAGACTTTTCTTATCTTCATAGCAAATACATATGATTTCAACTTTGAACAGACTTCGCAATTATCATAAATGACAACATCCATAGAAATCAAACTGACGTTCGAAAGAGTGGCACTGCGTATTCAAAGTTTTTGTTATTCATGTTTACATAAAAACTGTTTGATTCATGAACTTTTTGCATTCCCAATTTTGAAAGTACATGTATAAATTCAATTCAAATTCAAACTTAATTGGTCCAAAAGGAAATTCGTCCTGTTACATGCATTATTCACAGGGAAAATAGATAACATGTACATGTGACATGAAACATACAACATAAAACGAGTATACAGAAAAAAATATTACTTTAACATTCTTATTATATAGATATTTTCTCTGAATTTAAATTATTGAAAATAATTGTTCCTATATCCAGAGTAATTACTTAAACAATATAACATTGTACTCATTATTACTATTATCATTATCAATATCAATTTTAATATTATTATTTTTTGTATTGATATTATTATTAGTTTGAATCATTATACCATTATGATAGTTTGAAATAATTATGAATAAACAAGCAATATATTATGACATTATGAGTATTAATAGAAAAAAAGCCTTTTTCATTTCATTTGGGAAAAGACAGCTATTACAAGAAAGTATATACAATTGTCCTATAATAAATACAAATAGATGTGTGATCATTTCCTACAATAAAATAGAGTATAATATAATTCGAGTGATACATTTTACAATTTACATTTCATTCAACATACTGTTTGTTATGTGACATAATCGTGTAGAGTAAAAATATCAACTGAAAAAATATGGTACGATGGTACAAATGGTAATTAATATCAGTGTTTCCAGATAAATTAAACCGCTCTTGCTTCAAATTATGTGACACCTCATTTTGACGTTACTTTACAAAAATGCATTCTATAATGAATAAACAAATGTTGAGGCAAAAGTCTATTGCTCTTAATATAATTTGAACGCTGTTATCTTGCATTCATAAGTGATATTCATTAAATGAGAATAATGACAAAATTCCTGTGCAAAACCAGGTCATTACCTAAGTGGAGAAATCTCGATACTACAGAAACAATCACTAAATGAAAAAAAAACACTAAAAGAAATATGCTTTACGGAGTGTTACCACAGTAATAATGTTGGAATAGACTTATGCACGATTCCACGCCAGGTAAAACTGCAACTTTGCACAAAACATTGAATGATCCGTGTACGTCAACATGTACAAGTACAAACCCATAGATCTGGCAGCAATACTATGGTTGGAATTTTTAGATGAGTGACGAATTTGAGGGATATGCAGGGAATGTACATGCAATTACGATAACATTTGATGCCATTTTATTCTTACATGCATATTCCAACTATAAAACAAAACGATCAAATTTAAACTTCGAATAGTAGATACGAAGAGTGACATGGAGGGACTATCAAATAGTAAGCATATCTTCACCAAAACAGTTTGCTGTAAATGTATAGCTTATCTGGAGTACAAAGGACGACCTTTCCTCCCGTTACTTTCTGCAAGAAGCACCATTTCCATCTGGTTTCTCCATCTTCTGATCAGCTACAAGGGTCTGTGTGTACTCGAGCTCACTCGTGTACCGCTCGATACTAAACACTGCCTTACTGTGATCCATACAGGCCAAGAGTATGGTACCATCCTGGCAAACAGAAGGGTGAATGTGAGAACCTACTTCCTTTGTGATGAAGTGTATGAAATGCTTAAAATGGCCTGAAACGTATCCAAAATGAATTTGAGGCGATTTGGAGCATTTTGAAATTTGCGCGCGCACTGACGCGCGGACGTACGCGTACGCGCGCGTTTTTTGACCTGAAATTGACCGGACTGATATTGACCTTGATCATGGTAAATATGAATGAGAAAGGGCTTTCAGTTATGAAGTTATGATCATTTGAGATTTTCCAAAAAAAACACAAAATGGCGCCTGGATGACGTCATGAAAACTTGATGACCTTGAAAAGGTTCCTGTCACGTCTTATGGCAATGACCTATGACTGTGCTAAAATTGAAAGAAATTGACTGGACGGATCTTGAGTTATCGTCGGAACAAAAAAGTGGAAGAAATAAAAATAAAGAAATAAAGAAAGAAAATTTGAACAAAAACAATAGGTATTCCGTCGAAGACAGACCACC